ATTTATTTGAACAGAATCTTGTCAGCAAACACTTAAAACAAATATAGATTGTTTCTGTGCGATCGTCGATATAACACTGAAATAATTTTAATTTAACATTATAGACGGTTTGTCAGGAAGCATTAGTTCTGTCAGTATACAGTTTGTCAGGAAACATTAGTTCTGTCAGTATACAGTTCACGAGGAAACATTGGTTCTGTCAGTATACAGTTTTTAAGGAAACATTAGTTCTGTCAGTAAACAGTTTGTCAGGAAACATTAGTTCTGTAAGTATACAGTTTTTAAGGAAGCTTTAGTTCTGTCAGCATCAAGTTCGCGAGGAAACATTGGTTCTGTCAGTATACAGTTTGTCAGGAAGCTTTAGTTCTGTCAGCATCCAGTTCGCGAGGAAACATTGGTTCTGTCAGTAAACAGTTTGTCAGGAAACATTAGTTCTGTCAGTATACAGTTTGTCAGGAAGCTTTAGTTCTGTCAGCATCCAGTTCGCGAGGAAACATTGGTTCTGTCAGTAAACAGTTTGTCAGGAAACATTAGTTCTGTCAGTATACAGTTTGTCAGGAAGCTTTAGTTCTGTCAGCATCCAGTTCGCGAGGAAACATTGGTTCTGTCAGTAAACAGTTTGTCAGGAAACATTAGTTCTGTCAGTATACAGTTTGTCAGGAAGCTTTAGTTCTGTCAGCATCAAGTTCGCGAGGAAACATTGGTTCTGTCAGTATACAGTTTGTCAGGAAGCTTTAGTTCTATCAGCATCCAGTTCGCGAGGAAACATTGGTTCTGTCAGTATACAGTTTGTAAGGAAACATTGGTTCTGTCAGTGTACAGTTCGCGAGGAAACAGTGGTTCTGTCAGTATACAGTTTGGCAGGAAGCTTTAGTTCTGTCAGCATCAAGTTCGCGAGGAAACATTGGTTCTGTTAGTATACAGTTTTTAAGGAACCATTAGTTCTGTCAGTGTACAGTTTTTAAGGAACCATTAGTTCTGTCAGCATCAAGTTCGCGAGGAAACATTGGTTCTGTCAGTAAACATTTGTCAGGAAACATTAGTTCTGTCAGTATATTGGTTCTGTCAGTAAACATTTGTCAGGAAACAGTTTTTAAGGAAGGAAACTTTAGTTCTAGTATACAGTTTGTAAGGAAGCTTTAGCATCCAGTTCGCGAGGAAACATTGGTTCTGTCAGTAAACATTTGTCAGGAAACATTAGTTCTGTCAGTATACAGTTTGTCAGGAATCTTTAGTTCTGTCAGCATCAAGTTCGCGAGGAAACATTGGTTCTGTCAGTATACAGTTTGTCAGGAATCTTTAGTTCTGTCAGCATCAAGTTCGCGAGGAAACATTGGTTCTGTCAGTATACAGTTTTTAAGGAACCATTAGTTCTCTCAGTGTACAGTTTGTGAGGAAACATTGGCTCTGTCAGTAAAAGAGTTCGCGAGGAAACATTGGTTCTGTCAGTAAAAGAGTTCGCGAGGAAATATTAGTTCTGTCAGTAAAAGAGTTCGCGAGGAAACATTGGTTCTGTCAGTAAAAGAGTTCGCGAGGAAATATTGGTTCTGTCAGTAAAAGAGTTCGCGAGGAAATATTAGTTCTGTCAGTAAAAGAGTTCGCGAGGAAACATTAGTTCTGTCAGTAAAAGAGTTCGCGAGGAAACATTGGTTCTGTCAGTAAAAGAGTTCGCGAGGAAATATTAGTTCTGTCAGTAAAAGAGTTCGCGAGGAAACATTGGTTCTGTCAGTAAAAGAGTTCGCGAGGAAACATTGGTTCTGTCAGTAAAAGATTTCGGAGGAAACATTGGTTCTGTCAGTAAAAGAGTTCGCGAGGAAACATTGGTTCTGTCAGTAAAAGAGTTCGCGAGGAAACATTGGTTCTGTCAGTAAAAGAGTTCGCGAGGAAACATTGGTTCTGTCAGTAAAAGAGTTCGCGAGGAAACATTGGTTCTGTCAGTAAAAGAGTTCGCGAGGAAACATTGGTTCTGTCAGTAAAAGAGTTCGCGAGGAAACATTGGTTCTGTCAGTAAAAGAGTTCGCGAGGAAACATTGGTTCTGTCAGTAAAAGAGTTCGCGAGGAAACATTGGTTCTGTCAGTAAAAGAGTTCGCGAGGAAACATTGGTTCTGTCAGTAAAAGAGTTCGCGAGGAAACATTGGTTCTGTCAGTAAAAGAGTTCGCGAGGAAACATTGGTTCTGTCAGTAAAAGAGTTCGCGAGGAAACATTGGTTCTGTCAGTAAAAGAGTTCGCGAGGAAACATTGGTTCTGTCAGTAAAAGAGTTCGCGAGGAAACATTGGTTCTGTCAGTAAAAGAGTTCGCGAGGAAACATTGGTTCTGTCAGTAAAAGAGTTCGCGAGGAAACATTGGTTCTGTCAGTAAAAGAGTTCGCGAGGAAATATTAGTTCTGTCAGTAAAAGAGTTGATCTGATCTTAAGCAAAATTATAATCCTCTTACAAGAATCACCGGGAATGATGCTAGTTAAGTTATCCCGTATATTGAACAATGATGAAGATCGTGTCAACATGAAAAGCTTTCCTTTAAATCGATATGAAGCATCTTACGTAGAAGCAGACATCAGTTTTCGCTTAAAAAGAAAGAAAACAATAGGAGAAAGCTACTACAATAGTAAATAAAACACATTTCTATTGAATTGTCATACGTTTGGATGGCATTTATCTACTACAATAGTAAATAAAACACATTACTATTGAATTGTCATATGTTTTAATGTCCTATATCTAGTTGTGTTTACACATACCTTATGAAACTTTTTTATACATGAAAAGAGAGTAAACATATTCTTCCTACACCGTCAACGACATCTACCCACATTGGCCCAGATGAGCAGAACTTTGAGCGATGTATGATATGAGGACACGTCGTCATATTGTTTTGTGAAAATGTATGATTGAAATTACAAAGTAAATGTCTTAATGTTAAAACACATTTTCTTCATAAATCAAAACAATTAGATACCGAAAAATCTGTTTAAGTATAACTTTGTTTTCCAAGTAAAATATAATAATGTGAGATTGTTTTGGATTTGTAACGTTCAAAACTAGTGAAAAAAAGACGCAATATATGCATCGTACACCTTCCATGACGTAAGACGTGTCCGACGCCAAGCAATATTTGGTTACTAATATGTCTCTGACTCGTTATAGCTCATGTTATTGTTATTAAGTTTGCTGATTGGTGCCGAACTGTGCTCGTGTAACAGTCATCAACACCGTTTGTGAAGAAAAGTATTAATGATCGTATGAAAAAGCAAACTCTTTCTACGTTTGCATTTCTGCTTAACATTTTCGTATGACAAGCATAAATTTTAAACGCTATACTATGCTACCTGCATTTACAATATTTTTCTGACATGTTGATATTAATAAGATTGTAGAATATTCCGCAATAAAGATAAGATTTATTCTTGGGCATAATTGGTATCATTTATCTGCAACATGTTACAGGGAGTTGACCCTCTCTATTAAATACTATTTATAGACCAGGTTTTATCGTCAATAACGTAAGTCAATAAATTGTTATTCATTTTCAAAACATAATGGCATAGTTATTATAAAGATATATTTACAAAACCAATGTTGTGGGAAAATGTCATCAAGTATTTATTTTAAAAAAACCAGCAATATATGCAGCGATTTAAAATGCCACAATATACCCACTAACAACAATATAATATGGTCATAAATATATTACGCAGTCTTATATATGGTACCACCAACATGGTCTTTTAGTAGTAACTAGCGATTGTCTTTCATACCCATTGCCGAAAAAATATGCATTAGACTTTTTTTGTGAATCAATTTCATCCTTTTCACTATCAGTATTCTACGAAAGTAGTAATTGTTTGTTGTAATTTGAGTTTTTTTAATCCCCGACTGATACCTCAACATGAATGTGTGGTATACAGCTGTCACCATTAGACGGATTACAGTTCAGTTCTAATCAGGTTTGGATAAAACCTTTGCCGCGGCGTTCTATGTTATTATGGTGATATTCAGTCAATACCAACACAGATATTCCACCTTCATCGTCTCCACTGCCAAATATTGTTTTATGGAGGCCGGTTTTTGTTTCTTTTTCATAACAATTTTCATTCTAGCAAAATAATATATTTTATAATATTCAGCGAGTCAATTGGAATCGATGAGACAATTGGGAAATATATAAAACGCCAACTGGGAATTAATTCAAACATTAGATATTAAAAATTATGATGTATACAATTCACTCCTTATCGATGTTTCGCCATCTTTAACACTGAACGTGTGTTGTCAATCGTCTTTCTCGATTCCAAAATATGTTGACATTTACACGAGAAGATGTTTACGGTGCCAATCTAATGTAACGGTACATACTACGTTATGCCTCGTATCAAACAAACATACTGAGTATTGCTGCAACAATACATGTCCCGTACAAGCTACTACACCCTAATGATATCTATATATTTTCAATGGATCTTGACCTTGGGTAAACGACCCTGAAACTAGCATGTGAAGTTTGATGAGAATTCCTCAGAGAATGAAGCCGATATAGCACTGAAAAATTTCAGGGACTGACGGACGAAAGGACGGACAGCAAACTATAGATTCTCTATCTCCCAAATGTTTGCAAAAATGAATATAAGAATGAAAAAGCTATGCATGTTGTTTTGACACCGGTTCAGTAAATGACAATTATTAGTAAGTACATGACGTGACCATGCGCATTTAATGTTTCGTGTTATCATCAGCGGTAAGTATGGAGATTTATATGAAAATCTGTCAGGCAATATATGTATTGGTGTCCCCAACGCATATAAGTAGCAGATAGTGCGTGCTAAACACATATTGACGAACAAAATTTCTTACATAGTGAGTTCTCCAAGAGCCACACCTTACACTGATCTGTAATCTGGTTATCCTTAATAATATCAGATGATTAAAACGCTTCATGCTGTGCCGTGGTTGACTATTATCATCAGAATAAATAATACTTTAATATCTGTTTGCAGAAAAAAATGGCGAATTACATGTTTTTAATGGAATGGGAGAATAACACGGTAAGTGAACAGGTGGTGTACAGTGTCCATGTACCTTACATCTCATGACATTACCACTGTTTAAGTTATCTCGACATAACATATCCATGACATTGTCTCCAATTACATCATCATTTTGTTTACACCGGACATTATAACTATTTACTAACGACATCATCACTCTGTTTACACCTGACATTATAACTATTTACTAACGACATCATCACTTTGTTTACACCTGACATTATAACTGATTTACACTTGACATTATAACTATTTACTAACGACATCATCACTTTGTTTACACCTGATATTATAACTATTTACTAACGACATCATCACTTTGTTTACACCTGACATTATAACTGATTTACACCTGACATTATACACCTGACATTATACTATTTACGACATCATCACTCAGTTTACACCTGACATTATAACTATTTACACCTGACATTATAACTATTTACTAACGGCATCATCACTTTGTATACACCTGACATTATAACTATTTACACCTGACATTATAACTATTTACTAACGACATCATCACTTTGTTTACACCTGACATTATAACTATTTACACCTGACATTATAACTATTTACTAACGACATCATCACTTTGTTTACACCTGACATTATAACTATTTACACCTGACATTATAACTATTTACTAACGGCATCATCACTCAGTTTACACCTGACATTATAACTATTTACACCTGATATTATAACTATTTACTAACGGCATCATCACTTGGTTTACACCGGACATTAGAACTGATTTACACCTGACATTATAACAGATTTATATCTGACATTATAACTATTTACTAACGAAATCATCACTCTGTTTACACCTGACATTATAACTATTTACTAATGACATCATCACTTTGTTTACACCTGACATTATAACAGATTTATACCTGACATTATAACTATTTACTAACGACATCATCACTCTGTTTTCAACTGACATTATAACTGATTTACACCTGACATTGTTACTATTTCCTAATGACATTGTCTGCAGTGTTGCAGTAAGTTAATTATTTGGCATCACTTAAATGTATTCTGGATTTCTATGAAAGTTTGCTATTGACATGTGTGTATTTTGTACAATCTTAGACATTTTACAATAACATCTGGTTTCTATCCCTGATTTCTACTGTTACCACCATTAGCTTATGATATTGATATATATCGACGCCATATCCGCCATTCAATGACGTTAGTACACTGTAAACGTATACCATTATTAGTATTAGTCAATATGTTGTTGTTCACAACACGCAAATTATCAGGCATGACAAAAGGAAACATTTTCTCGATTACCTCTACAACGCCTGTCTCTTAACAGATGAATCAATATTTCATGATGAGAACCATCCTTATTTTATTTACAACCACAATTTTTTGCATGATGTACCAAAAAGGTAATTTTATTTTACAGTTAACTGAATGGGATGAACACAACATGGTCAAGATGACTGTGACTGGGTGTGGTTTCTCCTTTGTTGGCCTCATGCTCACACTCTGTCTCCTCTGCTTTCTCCCGTAAGTTTCTTTTCTAGCTCGTCCTACATTTCAATAAAGAGTACCAAAATTTGACAAACTATAATGAATTCAAGGCCCGTATCCATGGCAATGGAAAACACATATGTATGTATGCAAATTCTAACAGTGAGAGAGAAAATGGTTTATTTACCTCACATAAAAAATATATATATTTGCTCAGAAAATGTGGCGAGTTCAGTGAGTATAGCTATATTTAACGCCGTTGATATCAGATTAAAATGATCAGATTAATAATTTGAGGTTTCTTTTCTGTCCATTTTTCAGTCTTGCCAATGACGGACTCTACATTATAACCAACATGTGCATATCAATGGTAGCTGCACAGTTAGCCTTTATAGGGTCGGAAAACACCTACCCGGAGAAGGTAAGCAATTAAAATCAGTCAGACAAACAGCCTTTATAGGGTCGGGAAAAAACCTACCCGGAGAAGGCAAGTGATTAAATCAGTGAGACAAACAGCCTTTATAGGGTCGGAAAACACCTACCCGGAGAAGGTAAGTGATTAAAATCAGTCAGACAAACAGCCTTTATAGGGTCGGAAAAAAAACCTACCCGGAGAAGGTAAGTGGTTAAAATCAGTCAGACAAACAGCCTTTATAGGGTCGGAAAAAAACCTACCAGGAGAAGGTAAGTGATAAAAATCAGTCAGGCAAACAGCCTTTATAGGGTCGGAGGACACCTACCCGGAGACGGTAAGTGATTAAAATCAGTGAGACAAACAGCCTTTATAGGGTCGGATAACACCTACCCGGAGAAGGCAAGTGATTAAATCAGTGAGACAAACAGCCTTTATAGGGTCGGAAAACACCTACCCGGAGAAGGTAAGTGATTAAATCAGTCAGACAAACAGCCTTTATAGGGTCGGAGGACACCTATCCGGAGAAGGAAGTGATTAAAATCAGTCAGGCAAACAGCCTTTATAGGGTCGGAGGACACCTATCCGGAGAAGGAAGTGATTAAAATCAGTGAGACAAACAGCCTCTATAGGGTCGGAAAACACCTACCCGGAGAAGGAAGTGATTAAATCAGTTAGGCAAACAGCCTTTATAGGGTCGGAGGACACCTATCCGGAGAAGGCAAGTGATTTATTTTAAACATATAAACAGCATTCGGAGAGTCTGAGAACCACATACCAAGAAAAGGTTAGTAAATGTAATAAACATTACTGCTCTAAACATGACAGTTAACAATTTCAGCAAGACAATTTTAAATTTCAAAAGTGTTCCGTCCATCACAAGTAAAGAGTCCCTTATGTTTCACACATTGAAATTTCACTTGTGTGCTATACATTATAATTAAAGAGCCCCTAGTGTTCCATACCTTGTAATTTCAATTTTGTTCAGTATTTTAAAATTAAAGAACCCCCAGAATTCCTTACATAGTGAATTTCATAAATGATCTCGATACGGTTTATTGGAAATATAATTTGTTGACGTGGAAACACACAATTATTATAAAGTGTATTATATAGATGTTCGTGAATTTCGTCTCTCAAACTGACGTATCCTTTACAGCTACTTTGTAAGACAGCGACGTCACTGCTCCACTACCTCTTCCTGTGTGTTCACTTCTCCTCTTTGTGTTTCGGGATACACCTGATGACAAAGGTATACATTTCTTATTTATGTCAAGTATACACATGAACTCCAATTACAGATTAAATTAACTGATGAATTGCTTTCTTTTCCATCTTCGTTCGATATTTTGTTTTGATATTTCAAACACAGCGTTAGTGTAGTTAACTTGAACAGTGATGAAGAATTTATTTCATATTGATTTCATCAAGACTGTATGTCAAAATTTAGCCTAACATGATGTCAAAATACTATGTTTCTTTAGTTGAAGGCAGAACACATGATGAATAAGTCTCTCAAGCGTACGTGGATACTACTCACGTGCTGGGGAGTGCCTGGTATTATTGTTGCTATCACGTCAGTCATACGAGGGGACACATATGGAACCAACAAACTGTAAGTTTTGCCTAAGACTATAAAAACAAACGGTACAAATGCGGTCGATGAGGAACACACATTCTAGAAATATCACATATGGCCCAAACAAACTGTCAGATTAGCCACACAAGAAACAAAACACCAGTCATCACGTCCTTCAAAGATTTATAATATACATAAGTCTACAAACAAACTAAAAAGCAAAAGCAAAAAAATTATTTTTGTCATCAGCGTAAAAGATGACAGTATTATTATGATATACACAATAACGTAAAAGAACCTGATTGGTTGATGGTCTGAGTAAATGACCTGTATACACTGTTACAGATGTTGGTTGGCAACAGCGTATGGTACCAAATGGGCGTTTCTGGGACCGGTGATGATAATACAGCTGGTAAGTTTTAAAGTATAAAAATGACAATTTTAAACCATGAAAAACATTAAATCCATTTATATATTTTCGGAACTATTCTTGAAACAAAAAACGGAAAAAAATGAAATAATATCCTTGCATTATAGTAAACATGACAACCCTTCTGAGTGATTGGAAAATCATTTTAACGAAAAACGCGACATGCGTCAATACGATTCCAGTTATGCTAAGATAATTTACTCATGAGAAAGATTAATGATAATCAAGTGGACAATACTGTCGCAGGTAAATGGTGCCATCTTCGTTATTATGATGTTAACAAGGATGGGTGCCGATTCAAAGAAAGGATGCTCTCCTCTCGAAGTACTCAAGTAAGTCATTTACTGAAACCCTTAGGATCAATTAAGGTATTAAGCCATAATATCAAAACGTTAGCGATCAAAAGCATCACCTGGCTAAGTCTGTTGCTTAAACTTTGTGTACTGTAGTTTAAAGACCGAATCGTATTTTTCTTCTGCATTGAAAAGGTGAAACTAATTTGTGTGAAATGTATCTGTGAAATATATCCATTTACTTTCATCAATAGACAGCAGGTGATGACGGCAATCTCCCTGATTCCATGCCTAGGTTTGATGTGGTCGCTTGGATTTGCCGTGACGTTCGGGACTTCTAAAACAGCACAATATCTGTTTGTAGTGTTGGCGGCGTTACAGGTACACGACAACAATTTTTGAGTTTATGTTAAAAAACAAAAAATGACACCATATTTTCATAATTCCCAATAGAATTCTAGATCAAATTTCTGAAATCACCGAATTAATAAAAATGACTATTCATGCAAAACCTAACGTTTAAAAATATTATGATGGTATTGAGTGTTTTTTTAAAGTATTGGTGGGTCTTTACTGATATCATGATTTAATTGGTAGGATATTTTGGAGCCTGCGGCGGATATTCTGAGTTACAGATGGTATCAACTTAAATGCTCCTCTTCACGAAACTGAGAAAACATTTATTATACTACTACTTTTCAAGATATCCCTATGAAGCATGTGGTGAGATGTTTATTGCATTTTTTGAATAGGGACTGTTAATATTCCTGGGACATATAATGACTCATAAGCAAGTCCGCAAGTCTCTGTGCGTGAAGATGAACCCAAGTGATTACGACATGTCAGAGAAGTATAGTGACGACTACACCAGGTCCTCAAATATCGTCGAAGCTAAACGAGGGTAGGTAGGTATCAATCATATTAGAAGATAACACTGTCCCTTCTATAGTCTTGTCTGAATCTCGGACACATTTAGTAACATATTTTCGTGCGTCTTATAGTCTCGAGTTGTTTTAATATATCGCACAGAAAACGCGTCAAAATTAGATTAGGGATACTGTTAATTGCTTGTAAAAGATTTCTTTCTTTGAATTATAACTTATTCGGAAATTGACTCGACCTATAAGTTTTGACATGGACAATACTTAGCCATGCTGACTGTTCTATGTAATTTTCAATATAAAACTCCTTTGTTTGCAGTATCTAGATTCTGTCTCTCTTTTAAATTTATGAAAATCATACCTAACTGGCATACTTTTCTTCGACAAGGAATCAAAATATGAATATACGAGCCAATAATATGCATATCTTTAAAGAGCTTGTGGCCTAAGTAACCAGGTGCATTGTTTTCGTGTTATCTGATCGTGAACACCTGTTAATTCATATGGTTGTTTACATTGAACAGGAGTTGTGACTCTTCGGTGTCTCTTACCGAGAGACGCCATTCTGACCACTGTCTGGGTACAAACAGAAACCAACTCGTTGTTCCTCCAGCCGCGCAATGCCGACACCGATCGCCCCGAAAAAGTACATGATGTGACGTCATCAATCATGGCAGCTCCATATAATGATCTAAAATATCTGCTTGCTTTTGTGATGAAACATTAAGAAAAACGGATCTATGATAAAACCAATGGATATCGTCATTGTACGAGTGTTGTCCCTAAGTTTGAGTGTTCATATCTGTTGTAGGTATATATTTATCGTTTCTAGAAACATTCTATGAAAAAAACTGCCATTAGAGAACTTATTTCTTGTCAATGAGAATTGCATCCCTCGCGAGATCTTTCTATTATAATCATGAAATATACATCAAAGAAATATACTTCACTACATATATAGTTTATTCGATCATAACACGCCTTTATCTGAGTACCTGTCCATTGTATAGACAAACATTCACTTCTCAATTAACTTATCCATTGACTCCAAAGACACGCATTCAGAATTGTTTGCAAATAACAATCAATATAAGTATTTTTGTCCACGAAATTGAATTATTCTTCTCGATATGCAAGTGTGTATATTTATAACATTCTCTAGGTTGCTTTTTTAGAAATTGCACGCGAGAATTGCATTGTGTCTATAATCAAAATAAAAGGTGATATTTCTAGCGGAAAACAATTACACGACAAGGGTAATTAAGCAATCCTAACAACCAAAGAGCTCACTTGCCAAATATTTCATCGAAATTGTGTCGTCCAATCAAAATGGCCGAGCCCACTTGGACGGAACTAATTTTTCACCTTGACCTTGACCCTTTTTCAACCACTTTGTTTGGTATCGATCAAAAAAGCACAGTAGACGACATGAAAAGCATGATATATGGCTTTCGATAGATTTTCGGAATTGGTGGTTAGGAATATTGCTTTTAAATAATGTTAAGAGTTCATAGCGATACAACATAAGTTACGATTTGTCGGTCAAGGACAACTGTTGACAAGCTATGGAGAAGGTCATCATAATCATCATTAAGTTCACCCTGTCTCATGTATCAGGAAGCAGTTACTTAATGAACACTCTGGTAAAAGTCATATTATTGTCATTTAGTAAAGCCGAAGGTATATGATAGGAATACATTTGCCTTTCAGGGACAATTAAAGGACTATTTCCTTAGTGTTCATGATATGACTATTTAATTTGCTTATAATTATTTAGTTTTATTTGATCACAGCTGTGTTATGATATTTGATTTGATGATCGTCACAATAACAACCATTCTATAGGTATAATGGATACAATACCTATATTGTAATCGAGTCGGTATCACAAGACTACCATCACATAATCACATGAATATTACAATCTGTGATTTTACGAATATGTTTTATGTATTAATAGTATACTGTTTTAAACCTCGAAATACTTAGATAGTTGATTTGTGATTTTCAAATGATAACAATGATTTTTGAAGTGATGTTTATTGACAATAAGAAGGATCCTAGGTGGCATGACGCCATGGTTGCTGAGTACCAGGGTTCTTTTTTCCTCTTGGTAGATGTATAAAATCCCATTGATATCATCAGGTATGACAAACCATACTTATCTCTGTCCGCTTAACCTGCCTGAGAAGCCGAAGTATTTTAGTATTTTGAAACATAAATGGTGTTGTGGTTTGATGTCTGTTGATATTTTGGAATTTACATCGAATGATGATATAATATAGTTACGATGTTCTTGGTAATTAAGTTATTAATACGAATCAGTTCGCATTAGAGAGTTGTTAAGTGAGTTATAAATGTCGATATGTTAAAAAGCATTTTACATATTAATTTTGCATTAATATGCCACTGAGCTTATCACGCTGTGAAAGCCGCGCCACTAAGTAAAAGATGTTGTTACTTGTGTAGGGAGTAAGTAACAAAACGCTGAAGTTTGCTATGATTATGCACAAAATGCTGGGAGCAAATTGTTGACGCTGTTTAGTAACTTGCCTGTATATATTTATGAATGTTTTATAAAAATGTATTTTTATTAAAAATTGATGTTATTTAAAGTGTCTTGTATTTGTATGTCAAACTTACAAAAAACTTAAACATCATAAACGATGTATACCTCCAATATCTAGACTACTGTAAAAATGTTAGTGTTTATTGTGGTTCATATTTTCGTTGATATCGTGAATATTCTTTACCAATAAATAATGATTAATAAGTGCGAACGAAAAACACCTTTCTTGTATAACCATGATAATAAGCCAAACGAACACTTTCTACATTTTAAAGGAGCGAGATGAGAACGGTGTAATAGCGAGCGATATAAAGAAAGATAACTCTTTTTAGACTAGGCGTTGGTGGTGGTGAATAAACTCAGCTTTACTGTTGCTAGGTTCGTTGGCAATACATTGTGAAATATATAGCTGTACAGATGTTGAAATATCTATAGTTTTCTGTGTTTAAATTTAGAACTAGGATTAAAATATATGTAAATATTTGAATTTGAGAACCAGAACCACAATGACTACAAGACCATATGACTGGTAAAGTAATTGTTCATTTTGCCTACATCATCTTACCATAGTATAAAACAAACGATGACCATTTCACAAAAGCAGGATTTGAAGATGTATATAATCCAAATGTTCCTCGCAAACTTATTACATGTTTAAGATATAACTGACAAAAGTACCAACATGTCAACATGTTCATAATCCAAACTCATTTTCAATAAAAGCAACGCAAAATGTTAACCAAAAAAAAAAAAAGTTTACGCAGAGACTGCCAAACTGCACATGGAGAATAAGACCAAGACCAGGTATTTCGGAAGATTAATCGTCGGCTCAATCAAGTAATTTCACGTTCTGAAATGAGAATAATGTATACAACAACGGAACCAACAGATGATCTAACGAGCGTTAAACACATCCAGCTTCATATTGCACAAAAAAATTCTCAATGAGATCACTTTGACGACCGTAAATCTTCCACATATTTTCCATCAACCAGCACTTTTGAAATCCTGTGTTTGGAGTTTGTCCGTCAGTTGACGAATCTTGCACGAAAATCGTGATAATGGATACAGGCCCTTAAATATCGAATCAACAGCAACATGTTAACATCCTAGAATGGGGATGCAGGGATGTTGCTATCTAAAAATAGAAAATTAACAATAGGGAAATAGAAATCATCACGTTTATCATACAGCTTGGCGGAAAGCTGCCAATGTCGTTTTCGTCCGTTTATATACTTTTTATACAAGTAACGAATATCAGACCCCTTTTAAACCCGTTTGGCATAGCTTGCAATATACAGTAACTAAAAGTACCTTGGTATTATAAATGTAAGTTAGACACAATGCTTTCCTAATCAGATAAGTTAACAATCCGGAAAATCCTGTAAAAGAAAGCTTCTTAAAGATTCATATTGAAAATAAGACTCAAAACAATAGCACTCTTCTTTTTCCTAGATATTCAGCCTTATACAGGTTTATTTAATTTTTTTCAACATAAAAAATAGCATCGGCGTAAAAGAACATAAAGTTATGCTTCCAGTGATAAATTTTCTCTTTTACTATAAATGACGATAATCCATGAAGAACTACTTTAACAAAAATCTTCGCGAAAATAAGAGTTTGTAGTTTTTATAGATTTTAGATGTTAATACGCATGTAGAATTTCACAAATAAGAACGGAATTAAAATTGCCTTTCATATTTTAAAGGAAATATAATTATATGTAATTTATCGTGGTACGTACATCAACTTTGACCCTAAACATTGAGAAAAAATACTGACCTCATGAAATATCCACTGAATATTTCATGTGACTTAACTTAATCATATGTGTAAAGTACACTTCATTTAAATATTCCCAAAAATAGACAAGATACGTATCACTTACAAAACTGAAGGATGTTTTCAACATTTACTAAGAGTCCACTTGTGTTATTGTCTAGTCATTAATTGGTCTGACATCAAATTACGGTGGTTATAGTGGTATATTGTAAATGTATATAACATTTGGTTTAATATGGATTATGGATTTGAAATCTACAGGTTTTAGAAATAATGTATACTTAGTTTAATGCACATTTACACTACAAGATATAAAGTTGAAAGTATCATTACTTTACAAGAAGTACGGAAACCAAACATATGCTAGAAAACGAAAGTACATTTAGTTAACAATTTTGTTGTGTTTGATAGACTTGTTTGTATTTACTGTTGGTAATTCTCCAACTAGTCACATGTTCCTGAAAACTATAAAACATTTTAATTTATCACCTTTATATCTTATCATGATACACATAGACTTCTCCGTAATGCGTTGTATTTTTAGCATATAAAGATATTACAAAAATCTACTCTCTGAAATCCACAATCCATCGTTTTTGAAACAAATCAATGTTTGCCATCCGTGCAAATTCACAAAACACATGGACACTGGTCATGACGTGCAAGTGCACCTAACAACACCAAGATGCTATAGCATTATGTACACCATTGACGTCGGTGTGTGATAGTTGACTTGAGAATCAATCGACCTTTTCCAGTCTGGCTCAGCAAATGAAGGTACTCGTATCGAATTAAAATTTATTGCCTCCTTGCGCTAACAACCATTTTGGAACATAAACAAATCCCGGAGTCCAATTAGCCATCCATGCAGTTTTGGGATTCTGACCCAGCAGAAAACTAAGCTGGCGAATTGAAGGTGGCTGACGGCCTATATAAATAAACAAAAGTATGTAGAATTACGTCATCTCTTGAAGATAAATTCAAACGCACAGATAGTTTTAACAAGCTTAGTGCAGTAATGGAAAGCATTCTTACTATAGACGGGGATTGTAAACATTACAAGACACAACCAATTTTGTTAGAGTTTCTTTGAAAAGTCGGTCTGACCTTTACTTTCAACCACCTGGTTCCTCTGTGTTTTCTTCATAGAGAACCCCCAGTATCACTTGCATAATTAAATGATATCCAATGTAAAGAATCATAATAAACCGAAGAAATAAAACAGAAAATGAAAAGAAATCGGAGAAAACATTCCGATTCCCCAAAAACAAACACAAGACGACATAGGGACATAATTATAGATGCTCATGATATTTCCTACTGTTTTTAATTATCTAAAGCAGAGTACCATTGTGGAAATAAGCTCGTGGCAACCATCTAACCAATCCTTCACCCAATTTACGAAATGTTGCAATCAAGGGACATGACGAAGCGACATGTAAAAATGTAATTACATTGCCGAAACCGTGAAGGCAAAACCTGGCAAAAAAGACGTTTTCATGAAATAAATTTGAGTTTAAAAACTCAAAGAATGTTTATAACGTCATAAAAAGATATCCCCCTCAATCTGTACGATGGACGGATTTTTTGTTTTCGTTTATATATATAGTAACATTTCTAGCAAACGGGAGGACTGATGGGTTTGTTGAAATTAGATTCATGTTCAACAATGAAATGATTTGGTTTTAATCAGACGTATATAGCATTATATATTATGAAATATTCATGAAATTAAGAAGACAGATATGTTGCTCCAGGAGAAAAGATAGATCAGGTTACAGAGGTCATTGTTTTTTTTTGTTATTTTTGTTTTCTTTGAGGTTATGGATTATATACAGTAATTTAGTTTACAAAAGGTGTGTTTCGTATATATAAAGAATCAATATCTCATTGCAATTTCTATAACTAAGACAAATGATAATATTTTGATTCTGGAAGAGGATTCGGAATCTTATCTCGTTACCATTTACTTAGGATTAAACATATGCTTTAAACTAATAAGATTCCGTGCACTTTAATCCCACGTTCCTTTGAAGATGTTATGAATTTTCCCAGCAGCATGTACAAAAATGATGTTTTCTTGGTATTGAACATTTATTAGGTTTCATAAATGTTTAGCTCTAATCTAGGGCGACAACCCGCCGTTAAATCATCAAGTTGTTTCAAAATATCAGAACATACAAACCAGAATTTGAATATTGCAGCTACCCCCTTCCATAATAGACAGCGTTATCCGTATACAATTGTATATTTTGGCAATGAACGCCCCATACAGTTAATGTAACATGATGATGATCTTTACCGTCAATGTCTTTAAATCCGTACTCGTAAGCCAAGTCACTTGTCAGAAGGATTTTACCTGACTTCTTGTTCACAAGGTTTTTATCTGAAGAAGAAAATCAAACTTGTTAGACAGAAACAACTTCCCTTACAGACCACCTATGCAGTAGCCTGTAACTTTCAATATAAGTTTCATTGAAATCTACGTGTTTTTATGAAAGTTATCTACAAATATCCTCTGTCTATACTACCTCTCCTATATGATAAGGCCACTCCACAAAAACTGCTGTATATACCGCAACTATCCTACATGCTTTATCTTTTCTCTTTTTCTCTTCTTATGTCACGTTTGAGTTCATTCAAGTAGTGACATGGTTAAGAATACACATATGTACTAGATGGTCTTCATCAGACAAAAAAAAAACCCATTACTTTTACTATTTTTAAATGATGGGGCTAATGCACCTCTCTGTCTATATTTTTACATCTTTTCGATTTTCCCTCAGTTGCCTCCTAGGTTTCAGAAATTATGTCTTAATATCACTGAAGATTTATAGAGGAACGAAATAACAGTTCAATTTATTATTTGGCATTACTGTATTCTATTTTAAAATTGTGTTTAAATAAGTATTCCTTTTTGTTTTTTTTATAATCTTTTCACTCGGAGGTGTAATTTTCAGCATCTTAGACATAGAAATACTTCGTACATGTATATGTTTCATGATATAGATAACAGGCACCTGAACATATAAAATATCTATGAATAGACTTACGTTAGAACATGTAATATTAATTCATTGTTTGTTTATAGCCTAATTTATAATAGAGATAAAAAACAACGAAGTGAGCAGGGGACTCCCGTAAATACACCCCTCCCTCACAATCTTATATAGCTTGTTAGGTTTGTATTGTGTGAATGTTCCGTATGCAAAATTATATCCCTGAGTAATACAAGACACCTTATAAGTTGTACGTGATAGAGTATACAAGGTCCATGTCGCTCAAACAAGAACATATTGTTGATATCTAAACATCAATATCTTGTTTAACTTATTTATCAGATCATTTAAGCGATGAATGAGCCGTTTCCTCTTATCAAATTAACTAAATGTTCCGTGTGTAGCTTCACTGTAATCACTTGAAAAAAAAACATAAACAAACTCAGAGATTGATTATCTACGTAATGACTGTTTAACACACGCCCACTTAAAGATGTGCGCCCTATGCTGGGTATAACATAGCTCGAATCCATCACATGTGTATATTATTCAGGTACATTTCAATATACAACTACGGATTATTCATTAAGTAAAAACGCATCATTACATAATGACAACAGCAATGTTTACCAGGTACATGTAATCTCTTTGCATCTCATTTCATGTACCGCGTCTACGAAAACGCTGTATTTGATGGATGTATTTTAAGCCTTTTAGCATATTGCGCTTAAAATGCTGCATAATACATTTCATCGATGCCCATCGTAAACGAAAGTACGTGGATGTGTAAAGTCAACCAGTGTAAGGTATATTTAGAATAGACGTTGCATTGTTATTCAATGAAAACCTAGTGTTTGAAAGTGTATAATGAATATAGGTATTTGCATTTTTTATTATTCTATAAAAGACAGAAAAATATTGTAAAATCGTATATTTTTATACGGTTTATATTTTCACGGTTTTCCAAATAAAAATACCATTTAGTGGACACTTTATTTTGCCGAAATAATAGCGATGTAAATCTACATAAGGGTATATTCTTTTGACATTTGACATGAAGTAAGACATAATTCAATACAAACGAAGTCCTACATAATACATTGGGCTATTGTGTTGTTAAACGCTTTGTTATCTTTAGTTATACTTATAAACTCCGAAGGGGCGATTTTTTGAGCTATATTTCGCTTGTGGACGACTTCTTTGACGGCGTAGGTAACGGTGTTATTCGCATTATAGCGTTAACAATTTCAACGTTTACTGATTGCTAAGCTTCTTCAGTTGTGTAAACTGCATAAAACGTTTGCATAAATAATCACCACAAATAATTGATTTCAAATTCGTGAATTCTGACTTGTTTCTTGATCTTCGAAAACCTGGCTGTTTCAGTGAAGATTGCAAAAATTTGAAAGAATTGGTACCCCGTTTTTTTATTGGTGAAAAATGTCCTCGAAAATTGCTCTATCCAAAGATAAAATCTTTGAAAAATAACTAATACTAGAAGATGGTCAAAAACATTCGTCATTTTTGAACATTTTTCATATCTTGTTTGCTATGCAGAACTTCGCATTTTCACATTATTTTTCTTGATATCTAAGTATCATACCCCTACCTTGTAATGAAAGGCGAAAAATTCTTATTTGAAAAAAAGTTTCCGGGAAAATAACAGAAAATGTTTGTAATTCTGGAAAACTAAGAATAATATGTAAATATATTTTTCCTGATACACATATTCTGACAACTCCTGTATGGCTGAAACATGCAAATTAACTTCACAATTCAATTAAATAACATCTAAATGTGCGATCAAGTTAAAGAGAGTGAAGTTTTTTTCTTTTATCCTTGCTAGCGGGTTTTTTATTACTTTAATTGATTTAATAAGTATATTTGAGATAAACACTTTACCTGTTAATAAATTGACAATGGCTTTGCCGGCGTATTCAGTGGTTTCACCTTCATCGAAGTTAATTCCAGAGTCCTTTCCCTATCAAATTATAAATAGGAAATATCAAAAACACCACGACATCGGTAAGTTAATATGCTAAACTACAATACATAGGTAATATCTATATGTAGCTTATGTCTGCTTCTAAATGTTCAAAACGAAAAGAGACAATTCCAGTCTCCCGTCATCGTAAAGTAATATATTTCATTAGTTTGAATCATTTTGTTAGTGGTGTCTTCTGTTCAGAATATCATTTTCAAGATTCCTCGTAATAAGCATGGTATCAAAATGATGTTGACTAGAGACATAAAAACATTTCATTTTTTTCATGTTTGCTGTGGGACCATTCAGTCTACATATTATTCTAATCATTAATAAAGACGATGTTACGACATTAAAAAGTAGGAAATAACGATGAAGTACAACTACTCTACATAACTTATTCACATTCTAGGACTAAATCTCACCAGTGATTGTACAAATGAGGTACTCGTCAATACTATATTAGAATACGATAAGGTATGCCGGTATGTATTATATTGAAATTTGAACAATGTCGTACCTTGTCTCGATTGCGTGATTGAGACAGTTGGTTGATAACCTCTGTACGCACAGCTCCCGGCCACACACTCACAAAAGCCACATTATGACGCTTCAACTCAACAGCACAGTCCGCTGCCATTCTGTCACACTGTAAATAAGCGTCAAGAACCCATCCAAGGTCGGTTGGAATCATCAGCAATATCAACACCTTTGCTCTATTTGGTAATCTAGTCATTTATTATACAACCACTTTTGTTCTGGTGATTGTTTGAGCCAACAGTTATATTGATATAAGGTCCCTCGTTAGGGTTTGAGCCTTTGGTATTAAACTGACCCTGTTCCTTTTCAACTCCGATCAAGGAATCGAACCCCGGTCGCTTAAGTAAACTACAAGAACGTTACCACTCGATTATTCTTTTGCATTTTTGGAATTATCGTTAAAGTTTATTAGTCATTGGTATGTATTGTTGTATATATCTTATGATGTCTCACGAGGCTTGGTATCAACGGTAACCTGTGCAATTCGGTCCGAATTGATCATGATTTGCTGTTGTTTAGTGGAATATAAAGTTATTCTGCCATTGTTCCGGGAATTAAATGGGCATTGTCTTTGTAGATAGGTATACATATAATTTTGTAGGCTGAACAAGATGGCGATCTAACTAGTGGTTTTAGTAAAATCTGTCATGAGATTTGGCTTGATTGTAGTGAATTTGAAGATAAGATTGGCTGATTTAGGTTAATTGATTGACGTGGTGTAGTTCACGAAAGGTTTAGCTGAGAATAAGGCACATTTTGGTAAAGTTTAAGTTTTGTGGTAAATACTTACAGCCTCTTTACCCACACCATAAGGTATGTTAAACAGGTATCTAAGTCCACCCCCAGACGATATATTGACTATCAGTCCAGATCGACGAGGTACCATCATTCGGGCTGCATGGATAGAACATATGTAGTGATTCCTGTAAGAGGTAGATCAAATGTTGCTGATACTGAATCAAACATGATGACCCTGATATTAGAACGAATTGTTTATAGAACCATACCTCATAAACAGGTATCTTATAATTTGATGTACTAACAGTTCCTTTCTGGAGAATGACATTCCAATATAATAATTTTCTTAATGTTGGTAAAACATTTAAATGTTATTTTCCTAATCAATTAAGTTTATTTAATTAAATCTAAATAGCTAATAAATTCGTGTATCAAGCTCACTTATACTGGTTGTTATCAATAAGTGTATATAGCCAATACAAATGACCTCTCTACATTAAATTATTTTAAGAGTTCAAAAATAATTAATGAGAACTGCTTTGGTTTTTCAGAAATGAATAAAAATGCAACCTATTTATAAAGTTAAGGTAAATTCTTTGTATAAGCATCAGACATTTTTAAACTCACAAAAAAATCGTTATTTTTAGAATATTTGACGTTAACACGTTCCCTTCTTGTTTTGTACGTGAATGCCACTCTGTGTGAAAAAACTTAGTTACCCTAGGGTTTTTGCAAACTTATCAGTAAAGACTCCAAACCATTCAACACTTTTAAGACGTTCTAGAGCGTGAAAAGCTCGTAAAATCTGGACCGTTGCGTTTTTTTTGTTGAACAATCTGTCAAATTTGGACATATACTACGAGTTTTAGTGTTGAGATGCACAGACTACACATAACACCTAATATTTATCACCAACTTATCAGCTTTAAATGTAAAATATCGAATCCTCGGATTACATAAAGAGTAACACGCGTTTTACTTGTACCATTACGGCCTCGAGTCAGTGAAATGTTCACGTACAAACACGGCACTAGTTTCAAAATCGCTTTCTGAAAAAACTTACTTGAAAAACCGCAAATTTAAAGTGGGATGAGATCTTGCATTTACCCCTTTATCAGATTATATCAGCTGAGATTTTTTTTGAAGCAATGTGACATATTTGTTGTTAATTTCATTGTTTTTTTTTTATTTTATCTTACACGACATTAAAGGCTTATGTATTCTACTTTTCTTCTGGGTTGATATTCTATAGAATCAGCCTTCATGGGTACCAAGCTACCACCCAATGTAGGTAGGGAGGATTACTAGTTGTACCGGGTTTCACTATAAACTACGTTCCATCTCTGTGTTCTTAAGGTTATACTACAGCCTTTATTGTCATCTCGTACATTTTATACCTCTGTGGATATACACATAGATATATTCAATTTTCCGATGAAGGTGACAGTGTAGTACTCGAAACGTTCAACATGTTTTGAACTAGTTTGATATAAGACTTTCAAATTAATCAAATGAGGTGGTAAAAAAACTGGTGTGAGAGTGAAATTATTTACCTCAGTCCGACATCATTAACAGTGTCCCACATTGTCATGGGTTGTTCCCAGAACGGTGTGCCCCTGTTTTCAGATATCATCTAGTAATGAAGATGGAGAAGAATAAATTGAGGGATTGAGGCTAGAATTTCCTCAGAAAAATACTAATGGATGCGTTTAGCGTAGGCAACACGAAATTTTATTTACTTTACCAAAATGAGACCCAAAATAAAAAAAAAACAACAAATATATATATAAAAAAAACCCATTAAGACAATACAGTGACTGTAGACACCCATGTTTGATCAGATAAAACATTTTTCGTGATTAAGATTAAAGGGGAAAGATGTCTGTTTTGCATATAAACATACACACATGTATATATAAATATCGGTAGAGCAATATTTTAAATAAGTTTTTTTTTTTTATATCTACAGAGCTCTATTATTCAAAACGTACATCCTAGTAGGTATAAAAGATGGATGATTAATCCCGACCGTCACCAGTTAGAAATGTAAATTATCCAACGATAACCTTGACTCAATCTTACATCAAATCTAAAATTCCACTTATCCTACCTTCACTGCGGAGTATGCGTTGTTGACCAGAAGGTCCAACTGACCATCCTGTTGTTTATCAATTGTCTGGAACAGCTTTTTAATATCTTCATCATTGGAGTGGTCACACTGGAGAGGGATACACTGACCTCCTCGTTCTTCTACCTGTATATGACTCGATTTTTTCAATCACATGTAATAAAAAAACTTTATATCCTCCTTCCCTACCTACGCAAAGCTTCGGAGAGGAAGTAAATTAAATACCCCTTTCCTCTGCCTCAAACAAAAATCCAGAGAAGAAGTAAATGAAATCCCCCTTCGTCCACCTACACAAATGTGCAGGTAAGAAGAACAATTTATTCCACTTTCTCTGCCCACATCAAGTTCCAGATAGGATGTAAATCACACCCCACTTCCTCTACCTAAACAGGGTCTCGGATAAGAAGTACATCTTACCTCGCTTCCTCTACCTAAACAGGGTCTCGGATAAGAAGTACATCTTACTCCGATTCCTCTACCTAAACAGGGTCTCGGATAAGAAGTACATCTTACTCCGATTCCTCTACATAAACAGGGTCTCGGATAAGAAGTACATCTTACTCCGATTCCTCTACCTAAACAAAGCCTCAGATGAGAAGTAAATTCAACCTCCTTCCTCTACCTAAACAAGACCTCAGATAAGAAGTACATTATAACCCCTACATCTACCTAAACAAGGGCTCAGATAAGAAGTACATCTTACCCCCTACCTCTACCTAAGCAAGGCCTCAGATAAGAAGTACATCTTGCCCCTTACTTCTACATACATATATCATCAGAAGAACACACAGTTCTCTCTTAATCTTAACTCAAAGACAAATTCCATGAAACAAGGTCGAAATATGAGGAATATTTACACGGAGACGCCTGAAAAAATACAAAGAATATGACAAGGTGTTCAGGAAGGATAAGCGTTTTTTACTTTACTGATCGCACCTGTCATGTCAATCTTGGTCAAGTAAAGGCGCCCATAAGAAAACAAAGTAAACAACAATCCAGACATGCATGTAGTATTGCGCATGTCCAAATTAATATCAGACAACAAAGTAGAATAACTTTCATAATCATCATCAATTTCTATCTCTAGAAACTCTGTGTTTGTGAGTTTATCTGTCAGGTGTCGTCATCTTACGCGAAAATCGTAATGTTGAGAACAAATCCATGAACATGGAACCAACTGCGGTACGTAAACACAATAGATGCAGGAATGTTACTTTTAAGAAATGGAAATTCAGCAATAGGAAATTTAAATCATCACTGTTATCATAGTACTTGGTGAAAGTCTATCTCTGTCGGTTTCGTCGTAAGAAAAGATCGAAGTAAGGGGTTAGTGTAGCAAAGTCTTTGGTGTCCTTGATTTCTAACACTTGTGGTGATATATGATGGACATGGTCAATCAACTGCTGGGTATTAAAAACAATACGCAATCAATTTATCTTAAAATTGAAATTAAAGGACTGGCAGGCCTCCTTCTACTCACATTAGGTCTGGGATAGCAATAACATTATATCTCATAACGATATTTCAGTAATTAAGATACCGTAACGGTAGTGATGTGACTGTTATGATCAGTATACAATCATAAACAAACACCTGTCAATACTGCTATTGTAAGTATAAATCAAAAGTAAAAGTGGTTACAAAACCAAGGTGTAAACAAACATATGTAGTAAAATAATCCTGTATATTGTGTAGTTTAATTCTTGTTTACCTCTCGGGCCGTATCTGTTAGTGAGCCTATGACGTCACCGGAACTTTGGAGAGTTCTACCTGTTGGATCGATATGAACAGATTAAAACCTTTGTCACCTAATCAATTACATGCTTATAGATATAAACAGCATCTAATTTTCAATTATTGCCAAACAAGTGTTTCGTCATATACTAATCACTCTCGTTGGCTAGGATGGAAGTGCGCGAGGAGTCTTACAGTCGGATAGGTGAACAATACCTCTTCACGTCCGCTCGGGAAACTGAATACCGAATGTTTAGGTCAAATGTATGTATGTTACTACTACGTCACCCGACCATAGATATTTACTATACAATAACATTCAACATCAATGAGATGAACTTTAACCGGTGTTTATCATTATTCCTTACTTTTTCCTCCATATCATAAATAAAATCAAAATCCTGCGACTGACTAGCAGCAACAATAAATACAGCAAACAGATTTAAAAGTAAAAATACGTAAAAATAGAAATATGCAAATACAGAGAAGGTAGTGCACCCTGTTCCAGCAGGAAACTTACCCGTGATATATACTGTAGCCCCAGCTTGGCCCAATTGTAGCGCGATACCTCTCCCGATCCCACGACTAGCTCCCGTCACCACACAAACTTTCCCTTTTAAGGACATGATTGAACTTAGTGTCCCTTTACCTCACCTTGGACTGTGTAGACAGAAGGAGCTAGTATTGATACGAGATCGATTCTTGAGAGTATCATTTGAGTATTGTTGACACCTTACATTACATAGCTATGATGGTGTTTTATTTACTTATTCGTTATGCAGGTCACGTGTTACTAGCAAACCGGAACAAACAGATAAATCTTTAGTATCCTATATCGCTAGGACCTGCATATGACACGGTATTCTAGATTAACGAAAAGGACGAATAAGTTAGGTGTTAGCAGCAAACTCAGCATTAACATATGTATCATTTTATGATGGATATTCTTGTTGTTCTTAACGTGTTACGTTGTTATGTACATCTAAACAATAAAAGAAAATATCATTTGAGTGTATGCGTCAAGATTGTAGTCTATTTTCGCGTCAAGGTTAGTTTTAGACATATACCTGTCAGTATGGCAATATTTATACAACCATTTTATATACATCTTAACCAGGAAATGTGAAAAAGTGTCTTATGCATAGGGTTCTATGTTATCACAACACTTCGTGATATTTAATATTACGACACCAAGGTAATTTAAATAAACGTAGATAGCTTACCTTTTAAAAACACGTGATCTACCTCCTATGCATCACACTTCTCCAAACTGATCAATCACATGTACAGTGTTATTGAAAGGAGAGTATTCCGTCAATAAATTAGAATAAGAAAGTTGGCACAATAGATCACAAGTTATAACCTCCAAACTTCTCTCTGTTCATATACATGGTGTGTTTAGGAAGAGACTGTCTTACGTTCACAGGAAAACCCCTTCACCGCTTATCTTCGTTGTAAATAGGTGTGTCTTGTGGTAACGCGTGTATGGGATAAGTAGCGTTATTTAGCTTGTCACTATGAATGTTTAATCGTACTTCAGTGGAAATACTCAATCATATTACAGATTCTGTAAAGGATGATCACGGTGTACTATAATTTAACCACGACACTGTGTTATTACATATTACACTTAATATATTTAACGATGTTTGTTGTGTTATTTTATATGAAGTCATCTTCGGTTGTCACTTTGATGTCTGTATATTTTGATACTATCTTTGTAATTATCATACGTGCAGTTCCGTTTTGTTGCTAGAGACTTTATGTCAGTTGATAGATCACCTGGCTGTGTTTCTGTAATGAATATTAGCTGTGTTAGGTAAGACTCCACCAGGTAAGTTTAACAACCATACGACGTGGCTATAGTTTTGTACTATAATAAGGTTTTACAATAAAATGATGTTTCTATAGCATATATTAGTTGTCAGTAATTTAACATCGTTTAAATATAATATACGGTGTCATCTACATGATGATAATTATACCTTATATAGAAAATAAGAATAAGAAACCTCCAGACAATGTGTGGCTAAACGATTAGTCGTGTGTAAAACTGATGCTGCTTTAGGACAGCTTTATCTTTAAGACAGCAGGTGGGAGACATTGCTGGTGGTCTTTACGTGCCCAAAGTTTGCCGTTACTTATATACAAAGTTTAAATTCATTCGAATAGTGGCACGGTTCAGAATATACACGTGTACTTGACTCTGTTCTAAAATTATCTGATATATGAAATTACGAAATTTATTTAATGATGGGACTGCTGCACCTCCCCGTTCAGATTTTGACTTTTCTTTTAATCACTTCGGATTTTCCTAAGTCGCCTCCAAGGCTTCAAAATTTAGGCCCTTAACAACACTGACGATTCCTTGGAGGATATAACAGCTGTATGATGTAGTTTAATTCATTGTTTGGCTCTAACTGTATCTCACTCTAAATTATGGAAAGGTGTTATTCACTTGCGTGTCTTTTGTACAATCCTTAGTTAAGGTAGTAGTGGTGTTAATAGCATCTTCCGGTCAAAATCCGTATGTTTACATATGTTTCCGACCTCGGCAAGTTTCCGGTTTAAGTTAAGAACATAAAAATGCGTCAAATATTGTCACTAGCCATTCCAGGCAGAACGAAAAGGAATGTTAAAAAAGAAACAAAGATGGAAATTTATACCATAAGGTCATCAGGCTGTTAAGGATCTTCAGATGTGATTATAAATATTCAACAGTTATGGTAGCTTTATCAAGAGAAAACGTTTTAATGATTCAGTCAGGTGTGCATGAGTCTAAAAAGGTCCGTTTGAAAGAAAATCTTTTTATTAAATTTCAAGATGACAACGTGCACATGAAATACCAATTCAGAGTAAAAGTTCTTTATACAACTATTTTGAAGATAAAAACAATGTGAAATTGCCAAACTTTGAAGAGCCAATGTTGGTCGGAACATAAAACAGCTTTGTGAATTCCTACACCTCAATGGTAAAGGAGATGGGAGTGCCACTATTCTGTCCTTTATTTCCTCCGATTATGAAGAGTTACATAACAACATGGGCAATGAACATAATTACATTTCAAACAAATTGAAACCGAAATACGCACACATGTAGCAACTAGAAGTTGATATAAGGTAACATAAAAAGTACACGTTCTTTCATACCCACATCAACATTATATCCTATAATAATTATACGATTCAGTCATTTGAAATAATCACAAAACATTATTCAGGTCTATATAATGATCATGATATTATGTAATAGATATAGACCTCTACAGAAACATGAAATGCCGTTTGAAACGCATCACGCTGCAAAGGAGGATTAAATAGCAAAACACGCAGTAACCACGTTATCAATATTTAGTTATCCTTCCATAATTCAACATAAAGATAAATATTTGGAAGAACCACGGTAGAGAAAACGAATTACTAAATAAATTTGTAAAAAGAGATAGCAATATGTGGTAAACGTAATGGTTGACAGAGGGAAGCGTGTGCATTATTTTAATGACTTGTAATATCAGAGATATCCGGTTTCATATCAAATGGTAGTTTTCATAAAGCCAAACGAATATCTCTGCTCAGAATCGCTTAGCTTAGAAGACGTATATTTTGACCATAAACAGTTACTGAAGACTGTATTTTAGAGAGTTTTCGCTGTTTCCTCTCGCAAGTCTCGACAACAGTTCACTAATCGGCCACTGGACGAACGTGTACTTAGAGACACAATATGAAAAGTTCAACCGTACATAAGAAAACATCCTTTGTATATAATAATGGAAAGCATTGTGTTTCGGCGTACACTATCATCGTTTGCTGTAACACAATATTATTCACTAATCGGGTTATATAGGATACAGTGTATTAAGATGCCTAGCGGACATGTTGTGACCTCTGGTGGGAAAAACCGGTATCACACGAAAAACTCTAAACGACGTAGTTTCTGATTTGGTTGACAACTTTGTATAGGAAGACGACGTTTTGAACACGTCTCGTGTTTCAATGAAGTAAGATCAACATTGAAAGACTTAAGTAAGACAATAGAGAAATCATCATTTCGGTAGACATCATTCAGTTGTCCGGATTAATTCTTAACACCACATACTCTGCCTTCGGGTGTGTCATTTACCAATAAATACATAGAGCAACATCCTTGTTGTGTCGTTCCTAGGGAAAAGGGATTGTGGTGATACAATGCATATTGAAAGTGGTTCAGAAAGTGGCGTTCATTTCTCATCAGAACATTTGTATCAGAAGAGACAGAAGATTCCCTTCCTGGATGACCGTCTCTTCAAGGGTTCGATGCCTCCCTCAGATTACTGGTATACAGAAAAAAACACATAGACTAGTACTAGAAAGGCAAGCATGCATTATTAGAGCGTTATTTGGACGAAATTGTGTCATGACAACTGACAGCTGACTTTAAACTTTCGTTCAATTATCGAATAATGAACTGTCGTTAAGACACAATCAATCGTTAACGAAAGCTCACAAATATAGAGTTTTCAATCGGTGTTTGTATTCAGGATAAACATCTTCCAAATATATCTATACATATAAATGTACCTGTTTAAATGACATTGAAAGTACAATTTGAATCACAAACTTCACTATCGTATTCCCGCCCTAAGACTCGTGACATATGAAATTATTGAACTTATTTGATAAATTCCGTATCACATTGACACTTATGTTAGATAATACTTAATCTTTCACAAAACATATTGTAGGTTATGATAAAGGGGAGGGCACTCTTGCTTGTCTGTAGATCTTGTTGATCTTGTCGTATACTCCTCCAAGACAACACATGGACCTACTTAAGATGCCATGATACATTTTTTCAGCAAGAGAAATGCCTTCCACACAAGAAAAAAATACACTCTGCTTTCAATTACACCAATACTGGGAAATACAAGTCCATATAAACCGATGTATCAACTGATACAAGTCCATATAAACTGATGTATCAACTGATACAAGTCCATATAAACTGATGTATCAACTGATACAAGTCCATATACACTGATACATCAACTGATAGAGGTCCATATAAACTGATGTATCAACTGATACAAGTCCATATAAACTGATACATCAACTGATAGAGGTCCATATAAACTGATGTATCAACTGATACAAGTCCATATAAACTGATGTATCAACTGATAGAAGTCCATACAAACTGATACATCAACTGATAGAAGTCCATATAAACTGATGTATCAACTGATACAAGTCCATATCAACTGATACATCAACTGATAGAGGTCCATATAAACTGATGTATCAACTGATACAAGTCCATATAAACTGATGTATCAACTGATACAAGTCCATATACACTGATACATCAGGCGATACAAGTCCATACAAACTGATACATCAGGCGATACAAGTCCATACAAACTGATACATCAACTGATACAAGTCCATATAAACTGATGTATCAACTGATACAAGTCCATACAAACCGATACTTCAACTGATACAAGTCCATATAAACTGATGTATCAACTGATAAAAGTCCATACAAACTGATGTATCAACTGATACAAGTCCATATCAACTGATACATCAACTGATACAAGTCCATATAAAGTTATACATCAACTGATACAAGTCCATATAAACTGATGTATCAACTGATACAATGCCATATAAACTGATACATCAACTGATACAAGTCCATATAAACTGATACATCAGGCGATACAAGTCTATATCAACTGATACATTAACTGATACAAGTCCATATAAACTGATGTATCAACTGATACAAGTCCATATACACTGATACATCAACTGATACAAGTCCATATAAACTGATGCATCAACTGATACAAGTCCATATAAACCGATACATCAACTGATACAAGTCCATACAAACCGATACATCAACAGATACAAGTCCATATAAACTGATACATCAACTGATACAAGTCCATATAAACTGATGTATCAACTGATACAAGTCAATACAAACCGATACATCAACTGATAGTAGTCCATATAAACTGATGTATCAACTGATACAAGTCTATATAAACTGATATATCAACTGATACAAGTCCATATAAACTGATACATCAACTGATACAAGTCCATATAAACTGATACATCAACTGATAGAAGTCCATATAAACTGATACATCAACTGATACAAGTCCATACAAACTGATACATCAACTGATACAAGTCTATACAATCTGATACATCAACTGATACAAGTCCATATAAACTGATGTATCAACTGATACAAGTCCATACAAACCGATACATCAACTGATAGTAGTCCATATAAACTGATGTATCAACTGATACAAGTCTATATAAACTGATATATCAACTGATACAAGTCCATATAAACTGATACATCAACTG